TAGTGCCGTCATAATTTTTTTTTTGTATGATTTAATATTGAAGTAAAAAACAATAAAACTTTTAACACTTTCATCTGACGAAGACGCCAGTGGAGCTTCAGGAAAGCTTGCGACATGTATTTTGTACATTTTGGTTGGTCCCACAAAGGCATCACTGTTGACTGTTGCCGTACTTGGCTTTTCCGAAAACATAACCATTTCTAAAAACATATTTGTTTTTAACGTTGTAAGCAGCCTTGAGTTCCAGTCCTGGGAGAAGATGTGGGATATAAATAAACATAAATATAATCGTAATCATCCAGGGGTCGTAGTTATGTTGGCCATATAGCAAAGTTTCCTTTTCAGAGTTTCGTTGGCCCCGTCACAGGATTTTCTTGGTAGGACTTGTTCCGAGCAGGTTTCCCGTTGCCTTCTTCTGAGGCTGAGAGAGTGTGACCAAAGCCACAAAAGTGGGGGGTTCCATGGCCGAGTGAGGATTCGAACCCAGGGTCCTAGCCCAACACTTAGGTCACCAGTCGTCCGTCTCTTTGGTCAGAAGATCTCATAGGTTTTAAGTTTTAAGACACAAACTAAACTTCGATGACTTGGGTCCAGAGGGATGGAGATCTGCGTCTTCTTAGTCGAAAGGAGGAGAACATCCTCCAGAAAAGACGAAAGCCTCCTTGGTCTGGATCTGGATGGAGGGTACTTTCCTGAAAAGGACAATAATAGAGAAGATCAGACACAAACCTTCGAAGTAATCCAGCTCTGAGGAACTCCAAAACTCTTTCCAAAGCATCCAGAACTTTACATAGCTTTGCTGAAACTTCCAAAACACAGGCGATGGTTCCATAATAACCCATGACTAATACTATTCTGTAAAATAAAAAGCTGGATTTAATAAACAAATAATCTTCCTCCTACTCTTCTGCAAAATACTTCTAAAACAGAAAAATTTTTCAAATTGACCGAACCTGCCTCTTCCCCACATCTTTCCAGATCATGGCGACTTCCAAGCCCACACTCTGAAAAAAGGTTTTTCTTCCTTTAGTTAAAGTCTCCCAGTCTCCCAACCTCCTCCAGGATTTATTTTTAAAAAGCCCTTTTCCAAGGTGGTTTCTTCTACAGAACTGACTTTGACCCACAATCCCCCGGGCGGTGCTCTATTTGCATAGAGTACTCAAGGAAACCAATCAGAAGAGGGAAGATTAGAAGGCCCCTCCTTCTACTCCTCCTCCTCCTCTTCCTCCAAGCCATTCCCGCTTCAGAGGAGCTGCGCAGACGCAGAAGGGTCAGAGCTAAGCGAAGAGCGGCGTGGAGGACATCGCCACCTTCTGGCTCTTGGTGGCTCGGCAGCCTGGCTCACTTGTCTATAATTCACTTGTTTATTAAAACAATACATTTTAATGTAATTTTTTTCCCTTTAGATTTTGGGGAGTGGATTCCATTTGTGTGGTGATCTAAGGAAAAGCCAGCATGGAGTGGTGGTCAGAATTTGGGACTAGAATCCTCATTTTGGAAACCCACTGGGTGACCTTGGGCAAGTCACATACTCTCAGCTTCAGGGGAAGGCAATGGCAACCCTCCTCTGAAGAAATTTCCCAAGAAAACGCCATGATAGGATAGCCTCAGGGTTGCCATAAGTGGGAAACGACTTGAAGCCCCACAACAACAGCAACAACAACCACCACCCTTTCCCTCTCATCCTCTGTCTTGCCAGGTTTGTTTAGCGAGGGCTATCATTGCCATCCTCTGAGGCTGAGAGTTTGTGACTTGCCTGGAGTCACTCAATGGGTTCCCATGGCTGAGCAGGAATTTGAACCCTGGTCCCCAGAATCATAGTCCAATAGTCAAACCACTATACCACACTGGCTCATTACAACCCTTTAATTTGACCCAACTTTATTTTTAAAGGGCTGTGGCCCAGTCCCTTGACCTCTAGGGCTACCCTTCCTAGTTCCTTCTCTGCCCTTTGTCCAGGGATTCTTCTTAGCCGCCTCAACCATCATCTGACCCACTTTCGAGGCATCCACACTGCAGAGACGAAACAATTTGACACCACTTTAAATGCCATGAGCAGCTACAATGGTGTCAGACTGCTTT